AAAAGTAGCTAAGAAGATACTTGGGGAGAAAAAAAACAAAACATCTCACAGTAATTTTCCTCCACCCCTCACTTCACAGGCTCCTGTATGAAACCAGGAGCTGCTTTGGCCCTTTGCTGTCAGATTTCTTACCTTAAAGCATCTCTTCTAAGCTACCTTTTCAGACATGTTTAGCTTTGTCTCTTGGAAAAAGTAGGTGATGGATTCCAAAACTCAAAAGTCTTAGTGTGGTATTTATCACCTATCAAATTTTGAGCTGGTGATAGTGCTTAAGCCGAAAGCAGACACTTGGAGAAAGTTTAACAGCTAAATATACAAAAATAATCCAACATTTCAAGCTGGTATTTCTTTAACTTTATGCAATGAGTACAAATCAATAAAATGAATTTTATCTACTACTTAAATAAATTATTTCAGTCCTTAAGGAGGACACTTTGATATAAAATATTTTGTTCTCTATTTGCTGTTCTTATGCTTTGGGAATAGGAAAAAAGTTTGCAAACACATACAGCTTTTACACCAAACTTAAACTCTTCTTGACAAAGTGTAAGGACTATAGACAATTTAGGGATAATTGTTTAATACTCATTTGCAAGTGTGCATCTTTAGTAAGATAATGTTGAACACTGCACTTCCTAAATAAATACTTTTACTCTTTATTTACTATTTATTGTGGTATTTATATCTAGAAACTCAAATTCAGAAAAACATTATAGATATTTCTACTGAAATATTTTCAAGTTCTGACACACATCAAGTTTGATGAACCAGTTAAAGATCTTGGTTCCTGTATTTCTATTGAAAATAAAGTCAGCACCAGTTAGATACTCGTCTCAGGTGGTATTTAAAGTTACAGCCACTTACCTTCATCATGCCCACAGTCCTGCAACACCTCAGAACCATTATGTAATACTCCTCCACTTCATTCATCTCTGATGTAGGGGAAAAATTTTACTTTCTTATACCTTCTAATGAATTTTGAGTGAACTTACCCACCAAAGATGTTATTTTCACTCACTAGTTAATCTAAGGGCAAAATTAAAGGAAAAAATAATACCACCTTTCTGCAAAACAGAAAAATAATACTTTCAGTTGAGAAAAATGTAACTAAAAAGCCATAAGTAATTTATACCTTTGCATTATGAAATTTCTCTCAGATTCAACATGAAAACAACTGCAAGGCACACCAATACAACATCCTTTAAAAAGTTAGTAAGTTTACACTTAAGTAATTTTAAAATAAATCTAAAGATTACAGAATTAATGTAATTTAGAATGTATTTGATCCACTTCAGCACAAATTTATGCTTTTCTTAGTATGTAACAAAGTAAAAGAAAACAGTAAATACTCCTGAATGCATCAGGTTTAGGTGTTTGGTTTGCTTTTTGCTTTTCTTGCAGACGTATCAACCCATTTCAAAGACTGAACTGCTTACCTTGTTTTAGTCTCCTTTTCCCCTGCCTCTACTTCCTCAAAAAAGAAAATTTATGCTTAAAATTCAGGAATTTCTCTATTGCCAGCAATTCAACTTATAAAACAGACAGACTACACAGACACAGTCATAAAGAGATTTTCAAGCAATTAAGTTTTTTTGAAAAGCTTTAGTAATGATCTCTGTATATTCTTACATGTAAAGTGTACTTCAGTGCACAGCTGACAGCATTTCTCCAGTTATTTATTAAAGTTCAAACTACTTAGTACTTCCATGATTAACTCTATACCTTACCCACCACCATCTCAAAAAAACTTTTGATTTTTCAGTTACATATATTTAAAGTGAGTTATTTTACAGAAAATGTTACAGTTTCAGGCATGGCACTTGTGCAAAATATTTTTACCATAAGCTCTTATTTACAAATTTTCTTCTGAAGCTTTTACCTACAAACCTAGGCCCTTTTTAATCCAGTCATTTTTAGAAATAAATTATAGAAAGGTTTCACAGTCGTCAAAACAATTCCAGTTTATACATAATCATGTTAACTTTCAGCATCACTTGATAGGAATTAAGACGCCCTTTTGAAAAAGCACAGTCTAACACTGTCTACACCAAATACAACTTAACATTATTTTTTCCTCTCCCTGCCTTCTACTTCCCAAAAAAAGCAGCAAATTCACAGTGACACTGCATTAGTCAGGACCATGTATCAGAAAGTCAATTCCGTAAGAATATATACATACTATTTGTCTTTCAAAATACATCATAAACATCATAATTTCTATTCATCCTTAACAGAGACCATATCCTTTGGTTTACTAAGGCTCTTTACTTGATCCAGTAGTCTTTTAGGTGTCAGAATATGAGTAGAACCTGACAAAAGAACATAAGTATTAACCATATCAGTCAGAAATTCTCACTTCCAGACATGCCCTCTTTAAAAAAGAAAACAACACTGTTACATGCCAGAGTTTTATACTATACCTGAAAAATTGAGAAGTACAACAGTTCAAAGTGCTTTCATGTGTTATAATTTAAAGTGCCATCATATAAATATAAGTGTCACCATTACATAGACAGTATCCCTCTTCCACACTCTTACTTTGGCTACAGGTTTCAAGTCCCTATTCTGGCTGTTTGAAACACAAGCTTGAACCTGGGCCACATTGGTTTTTTTTCCAAGTGTCCCAGCCAGCAAGAAATCTACCCTGTCTGTGAAATAGTGAGTTAATTACAGGCTTTATCTTAGAATCAAGAAACCATCTTAATTAATTATTATCACAAACAGTAATTTTCCACAGAAATAACAGTTAGACAAAATTGGCTTTTACTGACTAACATTTCCTTGGAAAATTTGCAACAAATTCCAGTTCTGAAGGAGCAAACAAAATCCTTATTATTCTTCAGGAGGGCATAGCCACCCACCTTGTTCTCACAGACAGTGTTTCTAACTTCTGCTGTGAAGGGTCACCCTAGAGTTACAAAGGGAACTCTCTAACTCTTTATGATTAGGGCTGTCTTGAACCTTGAGTTTTCCAATATTCCTCAAATTCTGAATCAGGAATACAGGAAGGTTTTCATCTTGCAGTAGGCAAGATGGAAATTCGGCAGTTATGACTTTCCCTCACAAGTCAGGATTACAAAAATCTTCAAGAATCACCTCTAAAAAAAAAGGGAAGATGGTGTTGTGGTTAGTGCCAAATATTACAGTGAAAGAGTGACCTACAATAAACATGTTTCTGTTTGTTAAACAAGTCGCAGATGAAGAAACAGTTTTGTTAAACTACATTCCTGTTGTCCTCATCTTTCCACTACAACTCAAAACAGGGGCCAGTGTTAAACCAACTCCACCACCATCAACTAAACCTGCAAACAAACAATAAACCAAAAAAATCCTACCCTCAACCACACAGACAAACACACCTACAACACCTCCACCCCCTCATTTTGAAGTAAACACACTCTAGATCTCAGAACAGGTGTAATTGTTTTAGGGAAGAGTATTTGTTATTCAAAATTGTGTTAGATTTAGTCCTTTATGTATAACTGAAGACTAATTGCTAGGCATAGGCATCTCAAGCAATTCAGAATGCTTTAGATGACCCTGCACCTGGACACCAGCTGCCACTGCAGATGGATACCCATCTCTTGATCTAAGAGCTCTGTTTTGATACATCAGGTATGCAAATGTTCTAGCCTCTAAATTTAAATAGCATTACGGGACAACACTCTTTGAAGCACAGCAGCTGATGGAACAAGCATTTGCTGTCTCTGAAGTATTAACTGATAGATTACTGCCCAGCTGGTAATTAAGACATTTACTGCTGAATCTTTAAAAGATTAGGGAGATTACTCCAATTTTCAGGGAAAAAGCTAGAAATCATGGTGTGGTTTGTGTAGTCTCTAAAGAAGTCAAAACAATAAGGAGAGGATATTGCAAAGTCAACTGAGCTACATTGAAAAAGTTTTTGCACTGATTTGTTTTGCTTGGGACATACTTTTTGTTCGGGGCTTCAAGGAAAAAAAATACTTGTCTTCCTTTCCTCCCAAAGCAAGTAATTTTGCACTGGTCTGCCAGCTTTCCTACTACTAACAAGAATAATAAGCATAGCTGAAGGTAAAGCACAGGCAGATGCAAAAGTTTGTGAAGAAACTAACGCAAAGAAAAAAGGTCTGTTTAAATCCTTTTTCCCATACATCAGGATACTGCAAGAATGTATTTCTCTGACATAATTCACAACAGTTCTTCTGTAGAGCACAGGTGTATTTATTGTCTTTAATATATCTTGTTGCAAAAAAACCCCAAACCAAACCACAAACCCCTAAATCAAGCAATCTAGATAAACTGAAGATACTTCTAAGTGCATAGGTGTAAGAAATACATTGGCTATAGTATTTACTGAACTAACTTGGGCAATGTAAGAAAAAAGGTCCTTACAGTTTCCAAAAAAATACATAGTATATCCCCACATACCACCCTTTTCCCAAGACAAGCTTACCAATAATGACTTCACAGGACTTGTGTGCTTCAGAAACCTCATAAGCACAGCGCATCTCAGAGTATGTAATTCCTCCAATCACAAATACAATCAGCCTTGCACCGCTCTTTCGCTCATCTTGGTAACTAGCTTTAGGTTTCTGGCGTGCACTGGAAAAGGTTTCATAAGATTACATTTATATAGTTTTCCTGATCAACTTTAGTAAAACCTATGCACTTACACAGTAATAATTTCTGTCGAGCAGTTAGTTCATGGTTTGATTATAATTTCAGCAACATAGACAAATTGATAATTAAAATAATTTTAACAAAACAAGTTAGCACGTAAGTTAGAAATTATTCAGTTATCCCAAGGGGGAAAATAAATACAAATCAAAAACAATGCTGCACACACAGCACACACACAAAGAACTTCTACTGAGCTGCTCAATTCTGCATGGTAGCAATTCCAGTAGTATTTTTTCATAAGATGTTCATTTGAAAAACCTAATACTAGGTGAACAGAATCTTTAAACAAAAATATCTAAAAAAAAAAAAATAATAATATATTTGGCCGTTACCAAGTAAGATTCAGATAGCTAGGAACAACAACAAAAAGCTCTTAAAATATACTTTCTAACATACATTTAGCAATTGCAGATTCAGATTAAATCATCTGCAGTCCTGATCTCTCTCTGCTAGGGTGCCTACATGATGGACAAGTTTTACCAGCCTACAGGACAGGGCTCCAGTTACAACACACAGTGACTTGCCGTACTCTTTCCTTGCACAGATCATCATAGTACATTTTTTTTAATGCTGTGTATCTGTACCATTTGCCTTTTATTTAGCAAGGTACAAATTCCAATTCCAGTGTGTCCTTCACATTTAGTATATGTGTGTTTACCTCCCTATGAATACCACCACCTGGTTAGCACAGTGAGCATTCCTGAGATAGAAACACCCTTATAATCTCCATTGTCTCATAATTTAAATAGCAGTACCAAAAATGTCAAACTGGCAGGTATTGGTCACTAGCTTCAAGAGCTAGTGGGATTAAAAACACAGAAAGAAGGGACAGTACAAGTTAGTGAACTAAAACGAAATTCTAAAATCACCTCTCAGTGCTATTCTGTAAATACACAAGTACACCAGGACGCATCATTTTACGTTCCTTAGCAGAGAATTCACTTCAAGACCTCCAATGTCTCTAGACTTCTCCAAATCATCCACTGACAACAGAGATTAAATATCTAACAGGCCCATACTCCGTAATGACAAAGCCTACAGAAGTTAGATTAAAACTTACTGGAGTCATTAACTTCAAGAATGACACCACTACTACTACAGCAGAATATCTTTCAGAAGAAACAAAAACATTTTTGCTTAAGTGACAGTAATACTGATAATTTACTCCTGAAACTACTTCACACAAAAAAAGTTCAATGGTTTAAACTTCTCATACTGGGAATAAGGAAATGTTATTTGAGTCTTTGAAGTAAAAGGGAGATACTACAAATAAAAAGCTACCGAAGAGCTATTAGCTAACAACCAAGTTCAGTATGTTTTAGGTTACATAAAAATACAGGTTTTACACATTAACATCCCCTTATATCAACTGTTTCACCACTTAGTAAGTGCACTTTTGTAACACTTTAGAACATACATTATAACAATATGGAGAAATTGATACATTCTATTTCAAGAAATTAAACAATTTACCTTACTGCTCCTGAACCATTCCAGGTAGGAGGACATGGGGAACAATATGGCCAGTCTTTTGAATCTAGTTTGTTTTCTATAGCATCCTGAAGGACAAAACAAAAACACACTTCAAACAGCCATGAAGACCTAAAACCCACCATGTTTCAACTTCCAATAATATGTCTAACTGAAATTTAATACTAGCACATGCAATTTCTTAGAACAACCAATTGCACAACACTCCAAAATGCTAAACCACACAATATTAAAAATTATTACAAGGTTTTCATATATCATAAAGAACTGCAAGTAAAAGGCTTCTTTATAAACATAGTATTGATTCAACTCTTCAGACTTCACTAGTAGCTTCTTTTCTGTAACTATGCTAGTGTAACATTTCTGTATAGCAGTCTATGAGAGAAGTCAGGGTCCCTGAAAACACAAACCAAAGTGTGAAGGTCACCAACAATCTATCAATGACAGCACTGGCTCAAACTAACAGGTCCAGTGAACATACTATTCTGAAATCAGAATCAGTCTGAAATCAGTCACTAACTGATGCTCAGGAAAAGTTTTAAGAACAAAGCAACTACACTTGACAAGTAACACTTTCCAGCCTCTACCAATCTATAGTTTAGATTTGAATTCCAGTTTAAAGACCCACTGGAGAAAAAAAATCCAGATCTTTAAATTACACTAAGCACTGCCAACCAATCACAGGACAAGCTGTTGAAAAAGGGTTTTTGCTTTCAATTGCATATGCTCTACCTTAAAAACAACACCCAATAAGAAGCATCACTAACACACAGCAGTCTATGTGTTCTGTGTTACTGACACACTACAAGGGATCATTTTGCACAACAGATGTACATAACAAAAGGAACTCAAGATAGAATGGAATTTCAAAGGATTGGCTATAAATGGTCACTTAAGTAACCTTCTGCACTGCACCCATTAATTAACTAGTTCATCTAATTTACCTCCATAACATCTTTGATAACAGGTGTCCACCTAGAAAGTTGAAAAGTTTCTTCTGAGGAACGATCCCTTCTTGGATGTTTATGCTGCTGAGCAGCAGACTGAAAAGATGTTCAAAACATGGTTGTATTACACAGTGTATTTGTTTTTTTGAAACTTATTCCCAGTTAGTAGCAGGCGAGACAGAGGATCAGTAGGAAATTTTAAAGAAATAATAATAGTAACAACAAAGAAGAACAGTTACTACCTGTATAATTCAGGATACAAACACTGATTTCAGAAACACTTTGCAAAAGCAGCTAGCTCAAGAAGTCACTATCTGATGAGAATATAATAGATATCTTAATTTGAAAATCATTCATGTTTTGTTCAAGGGATTTATCACTTAGACACATTAAAAAAAAACAAAAAACAAGAATTCCTAGTAAATCCCTGGATAATGCTGATAAGAGTTGCTTGAAAGAGCTGCAGACAACTGCTTGGGTGGTAAGAAATTACAAAATAAAGAAATATATTCTTACTGAAGAGATAATAGGAACATCAAGGTATTTCCAATTTGTTATCATATCACTATCACTTTCTATTTGTACATTCTGGATCAGCTTGTCCAAGTTCTCCTGGGTAGTTCCTTCAACATAAGGAAAACACAAATGAATTACTATGTGACTATAAGATCAATTTTGTCTCACAAATTCTGGGCTGTTATTTAGTCCAGAATTTTATTTTTGATTGTTTGACCAGCCTACTCTAAGTTTAACATAACATTTTTTAGATAAAATTCTGTTAAATTGAATGGTTTTCAAATTAGACTTAATTTTTAGCTTGCAATGGACATGGAACTCCCCCTTTAACAGTTTCAATACCACATGAAAAGGAGAAAATTTTAACTTGCATACATCCAAGCACAGGAATGATGCTAAAACACTGTATGGATCTACACTTCTGTTGAATTTCCTAACTCCTTATCAATAATACCTTTGCTACTAATTTGAGAGAAGAGAAGCTACAGAAGACTGAGATCATTTCTTGCAAACTTGGCCATCAACTCCTAGACATTTGCTTAAAGTTAACTAAAAATACTGAACTATCAGAAAACTTGACGTCCATACTGCTGAGATAAAACAAACAAACCAACCAGGCAGCTTATCTTACCATTTGTGCTAAAGATATACAGCAGAATAGCTCTAATTTTATCATAGCTCTCATGACTTTTGCTGAGCAGAACTGGAAGGAGGACTCTCATCGAGTCTTTCACTTTTTGACCTTCTACATCAGTTCCAAGAGCTAAGTCCTAAATACAAAAAAAAATACAATTAGTGAATAGTCATTAAAGAACCTACATTGTTTTGCATGTTCTGCAGTGTGCTTTTATTAAATTGAAGGTTTCAGAGAGCAATCAAGCTGCACCAATTTAAATCCAGCATGAAAAGTCTTTGGCACAATTACTTCAATATTTACAGCATCACAGTAACACCCTTAAACATTTAAAACTGTTTGATATCTAGAATACTTTAAAATTATATTTTTTAACTTGAGATTAGTAGAGCTTCCTTCTGCAGAACATGGTAAGGCAACTTCAATGGAGTTTTGAACAAAGAAAACACAAAGATAATTCTTACACAAATCAGCCCCCACCAAAAATCTAAAAGCACCTCCTTTATTGGAGGAGAAAGAAACTTGTATATTTCACTTAGCTTTAATATTACTACCTGAAAAAGTGATGTTGCAAGCCCGTTTCCCACAAGTGATCACAAAAAAAAAAAGAGGCAAGAGACACACTACTTCTGTGAATTAAAACCAAGAAAGTCCCATTTGCAGTTAAGTCATTTTGTTTGTGTTTTTTCCAAACATACCTGTTCAGTTTTACAGAGCCTTTCTACATTAGGTTTGAACCTGTTCATGCAATCTTCTGCTAAATTAAGATGGACAACTTGCTAAAAGACAAAAGAAACCAAGAAACACAAGCTGCCATAACTTGCTTGTTTTTTTCAAAACACATCACGCAATCATTTTTACCGGTTACAAAAATCAATTCTTCAACTACCTGTCAGTACCATCATGCATTTCTGCATTTTACCCTTCACTTTAATAATGACCCCCATCATACATTTTAAAACATTAAAATGCTATGCTATCTTCAATCCTCAGAGCCAATAATTCCAGTGGGTTTTTAAATACTCAAATTAAACACCTGGTAGCAAGTTTTCTTCCCAAAAGTTTACAGTAGATGAATACACTAATTTCAAGAAAAGCTATTTAGCACACTTAACAGGAAAACTAAAAAATGAAACTAAATTTCAACAACAGTGTACAAAATTATTTATTGTAAAGTTGTAGTTACACAAGATCCCTTACCCTACTGATCTCTTTCCGATAGTGTGGCATCTTTTTCATTAACTGGGACAGAGCAGATATCGATAACTGTGAAGAAATTATACAAGGTGAATTATTTTTCCCCCAATATTTGACATCCTTATTGTCAAACATCCTTATTGTTTTATCCTCATCTGCTGAAGAGCAGCTCCATGGAGAAAGACCTTGGAATTCTGGTAGACAACAAGTTATTCATAGGACAAGTCATCCTGTGATAGGATGAGGGACAACGGATTCAAACTTGAGCACAGGAAGTTTCACCTTAACATGAGGAAGAACTTCTTTACTGTGAGGATTACACAGCACTCGAAGAGGCTCCCCAGAGAGGTTGTGGAGTCTCCTTCTCTGAAAACTTTTAAGATCTGTCTGAATGTCTTTCTGAGTGATCTGTCCTAGTTGGTGTGTGGTTTTTTTGTTTTTCATCCTGCTCCGGCAGGGGGGGTTGGACTCAATGATCTTTGGAGGTCCCTTCCAACCCCCAATATTCTGTGATTCTGTGACTCCCTTCCTGTTGCATTCTTGCTTCCCACCCCCCACAAACTGTTAAGTTAAACCTCAATTTCTGTAATAGGTCCATGAAATACAGAGATATGATCAGCTCAAAATAACTAAATTACCAGGAAAAACAACAACTCACTTTTCCTTCTGTTGCTTTTCTTTTTGCTGAAACTTCTTTTAAAAGTTTTGGTATTTCCCTAAAAAAAAACAACCACAATCAAACAAAGGAAAGTAATCAAATGCATCACATTTCTTAAATCTTTTCCTAAAATCTCAAAGAACTGTGAAAAAAATACTTCTGAATCTAAGTAAAAGCTTCATATACAGGTCTCCTTCAGCAGAAAGAGTGGTTTTTGACAAAGGAAAATGAAGTTAAACATTCTGTTTATGATATCTGCATAATGTCATTTGATGCAGTAACTTAGTACTACTTGATGCAAAAGAATCCTTTCAGATTTAAAAAATTTTAAGATACTTCTTAGGAAATAACTATTTCCATTTTTCCTCAAAAACTGTAACTTACATTAGTAAAATTGCATAACTGTACAGACTATTTTTGAAAACGTTTTCCTCCCATAAATCATTTAACAGGAAGCAGTCTATATTGCAAAGCTGCATTACTGCTTGTATTTCTAATTTCTTAACAGTTCAAATATATTCCCTCCTAAAAAAAAACTTTTATAACTTGCATTTTTAACTAGTTTTTGGTATTTATTCACATACTCTATCACATCTGCAATATGCTTGTGCCGAATCTTCACCCAGAGCTCATCGTCTTCCTCCAGAATTGCCTCTCGTTCTTTGCCAGCAGATCCTTCTGTTTTATATCTTCCAAGAGAAAATTCAGACAGTTGTTCAGTTTGGGGTTTTCCCCCTTGCCTAGTTCTCTTAAGTCATTAAAAGTAGTAATCTTTATAGCTTAATCAACACAAATATTACTAGCTGCAATATACACAGGTTTTCACTTCTAAGCCAAGCTATTGCTCAACACAACGTAATTTACATAAGGATTTTACAGATTACACCTTTGAATACGGAAAACAGATTCATTTCAGAATAATCATTTGGGGCAACAGCTTCTCAACGTTCTTTTAAGCCAGAAGTAACTAAAGCTTCAATCATACATTTACATGCACCTCAATTTCTCTTCAATTTCCAATGTTAACTTCCCTTTGGCTTCAAATGCAAATAGCATGCAAAATATCACACACTGAGATTGCCAAGTGCAGCTTCTTGTATCTACTGTAAGACATTCCATAACTCTGAAAGAAAATTAAGTCCCATTCTCCCACAAAATAAGTAGGACAAATTACTTCACACATAAAAGAAACATGCTTCACAGCATTACAGACAAACTATTACTTTTCTACAAACAGAAGAAACGTATGAAGCTAGACAGCAATCATGCTACACAAGATTTTCACATTTACAGAAACTCACAGAGTGTGTATGGCCAGTAAGCAGGGAAAAAAAAACAAACACTACAAGATTAATTGTGAAACCAGAACCATCTAGAAAACATACTCTGCTACATGTTCATACACAGCGATTTCAGATTCATAGAATTCTGTCTGCTATGTAAACATTCACTCAGTGTTTCTGACAGAGAAGATACACATTCCTGTCTGCTTAACTGAGCAGTAAGGTAACTGGGTCTCATTTGCTATACTGGGACATCAGCAAGCAAAGTCTTACCAAAATCTTTGCTGTCAGTACAATCCAACAGCAAAGTATGTACCTACTCAAGAAGTAGTGAAACACTTATAAACTGCACATGGCTCACCTATGTGTGCATTTAGAATAGAAACATGTAAGTTTTAACAACTACCTAAATTAAATCGCAGCAGCTGAAAAAGTGAGAATTTCTGAGAAACAAACAAGCTTTTTCTCAGTATTCTAGTACTGGTCTTGTTCGCCATGAAGAGTAAGAATACAGAAGAAAAGGTAGAGAATCTAAATGTGCACTACCAAGGTTTTGCTTCAAGTCTAGTATTAAGTTGTTATTAAAAAAAATGCCATTTGTTATACTCAAAACCTAGCAAAAATGGTAATTAGATCCTACCTTAACTCCACTGAACTAGGAAGTTAACAAAAAGAGAAAGCTACTGATCCAAGTTATTAACAGTAAGTGAAGCAACCCTTATGTAGTATCAGCAGCTCATGTTGCTATGGTGCAATTCAGCTAAACAACTCCATAAATTTTATAAACAATAAGGTGTTTAGATTTTTTCTAAGAAGTACTTGCTTGTAAGTATCATTTTCAATTGGTAGCAGATCATATGCCATTGCCTGGAAGGTGAGTTCATGAAGCACAGTTGATACTGGGTCAAAGTTGCGATCAATTATTATTAGTTGGGAGTGGGTTTTAGCCTAGAAAGCCAGCAAAAAACAAACAAACAAACAAAATATATACAGCACGAAGTTAATGCATGTTAAATCTATTTACAGTAAGCTTCAGCACAGCAGATGCTTTTGGAAAAATAACTGAAAAAACCTTACAAGTGCAGACCAAGTGTTTATCAACATGAATAGAAATAAACATTTAAACAATAACCAGAACACAGTGATTTTAAGGCAGAGCTCTTTGCCTACTGCAATGCCACCAGTAGTGTCACCTAATAAACAAAAGGTTTAAGAAAAAAAACAAACACACAAAAAAGGACTCCAACTGCAGCACAGTACAGGTCATCTCAAAATATTCAACTGAAAGTTTCACTTAGGGGTTTAGCAAAGTGGCAGTAACACCAGATACATTTGTTTCTGTAGAATGGTTTACCCCAGACTTCTGCACTTAGGCAGCTGCCCTTGTCTGCCCTGATCTGTAGTGATAGACCAAAAACACGATTTATATCAAAAGCTGTATATCTGCAGATATAAATCTCTTAATGGGAGACACTCCAATTCTGCAGTGAAGTCCTTTCTAACCATGGGTCCATGGAAGCTGATGTTAAAAAGAGCCACTTTTCTTCAAGTTTTAATCACTCCCTACATTATCATAGAGCTAATTTGTCAAGTATATTTAGTTTGATCACACAGATTACTCTATCAGTTACTACCTCTAAGCTGCTTTCATATACAATAAACAACTAAATGGCAAATAGTTGCCTTTATTAACGAAAAAAAACCTGTTTTTGTAGAACTTATTCTCAAAATGTACACCCAAGGTATTTTTTTCCAGACTTACAAAAAAAGCAAACATTTTAATGTACTTTCTACCTTTATTTGGCTTCTCTCATCAATTTTGTAGTAGTTTTCAAGATTTTTTTCAACAAGCTGTGCAAGTTTTCTGGCATTATCAGATGGTCCACTGGAAAAAAAGGAAACACGCAAAAATAACTTACATTTCTTCCTCAAAAGAATAAAATGCTACCTTTAAAACAGAAAGAACTCCCCAGATTGATCCTCTGGTTTTACAAGCAGTTTTTGAACTCCATTCTAAATTTTTCCAATATATTTTCAGTCTTACATTATGATTCCACTCTTTGAATGCTTTAAGTATTTCACACAGTAGAAACAGTTTCAGCCAACAGACTGATATTAGCTGGCATATGGCCCAGCACCTGAAAGTCCCATTCAGAGGCAGAAAACAAGAAAAAAGAAAAAGAGAAAAGAAAAAAAAAAAAACACACAAACAACAGTCAAGTGGTTATTTCCTTGTTACTTTTGCAGAGAAAACGGCATCATTTAATGTTACACCAAATAATACTATTCTTTAACGTAATTTCAGATGCCTACTTTGACCTCAAAGGTACATACTACTCTAAGCTCAAAAGTGGACTTCTCCTCAATATGGGTACTATAAAGAAATCCTGATCCTATCTTCCTCTGCCATTTATTAACAACTTGATGCCAAGTGGAGCCGCACAACTACCAGCGGGAGCAGTTCTGCTACAGGACTATGCATGCAGTGTCCTAGAATGCAGCGTATTAGGGGGCCATCCTACTGACCAAACATGAAACAAGTAATTCATGAGAAAATAACATGCAGTAACTACTGTTATATGAGCACACACAGATAAATAATTCACAGCTCTGCCTATACTTCACAAATTCCTAACATTCCATGTTTCACAGTTGTGGATTAAAAACTGTTAATCCACAATAAAAAGAACTATGCTGCAGCCTCAAACTACTACCAAGCACTGTAGGAAGTGCAAGAAGTGAAAGCAACAACACTGTCTAACTATTTTTGCCTCACCTCTTATATCGTACTCCTGGATTCTCATCTAGTGTGGCACATAAGGTAACAATTTGTTCAGCCATCACTTGCATTACAGCATCTTTGTCCTTTGTCTTTTCCAGAGTTGGACTGTAACAGCGGTAGAATGCATCTGGGACATTGAGAGTAAACACCTATGCAAAGCACAGTCAAGAAAAAAAAAAAAAAGAGGCTTAAATTGTATATTTCTAAAACACCTGGTAAAAGAATTGCTAATACTTTACAACTACACAGTGCAACTAAGTCATACATAACATACTTTAAAAAAACAAAAACAAAAACACCACCAAGTCCTCCTGTCTGTCATGTTGAGCTCAGCTGCTTCTTGTTCTCATAGGCTTTTTCTCTATCACTCTCCTCTCCTATGTAAATTTCTATATTTTTCAAATTTCTAACTGTCTATACAGACTGAGGGACTCAAGACAAGGCAGAACTTCATACCATCCAGTGTCTCATACAGAGACATAAAATGCAATACTAGAATGAGCATAGAAGGTATCAAGCTAAATATGTGTTTAAAATAAAATTTTACACATTGTATATTTAGCACATGAAGACTTCACCTCCAAGAATTTAGATTCTTTAAATGCATTAAATCTTGATCAAAGATATTTAATTCAGTACTACACAGAAGAAAAACTTTAACAGTTTAGCAAATGCAACGCAAACATGGAAACAATCCCATTGTCAATAAATGGATTGTCTCCAGCTTCAGGTAGAATCTGTAATTACAGAGCCAAAGAAGAATGTCCATCCAGATAAAGATATTTGTTTCATTTGAGCAGATAACCACTTGGACTTTGCCCAGAGCTCAGTCTGATTATTTACTCTTATCACCAGGCCTAGGGATTTCAAATTAGGAGACTCAGTTAACATTCTCTGTTCCTTTGCTAAGAATTCAAAATGTTCTCACAACCCACAATACTGAGAATGCAAAACTTAACTAAGAACAAGATACTAAGTTATGTTTGTTTTCAACTTCAGATAAGTACTTCCAGTTTCTACTCTTGTGGTAAGTCACCCAGAGAACTAGGACAAAAAAAACTCTGTATGCATTATTCAGTGTAGGAAGCTACAAAACTTTTTCTTTAGAGCAGATTTAGCAGAACTCTCAAAACCAGTTTGAAACAAAGCTTGGGAATATCAGCACTACTGGAAAACAAACAGCCAAACCACCATTCTGTGATGGCTTTGTTATAAAAAGGAGTGTGTCTTCAAACTAGAAAACAGCATCACAGTAAGACACGGATGGCAACAACCTCATCTGTATTCACCTGCTACCTGGTATACATAAGAGTTCTGACCCTTGATATGTTTATAAGGTTGGAAGAACACAAGAAAGACTTGTGGGAAATATTCACAGCTCTAGAAATCCTAGTGGTGGACAGAGTTTGGGGGCTTCACTGTATTAATGACTATCAGACTGCATTTCAGCCTTCTGTATCAGATGATGTGCATGAGCAACAAATATTCACTGCGTGGTTTCACATGGAAAACTCTCATTTGTTTCCACCAGTGGTCTCAAATTCTTAACTCAGAAAGCATGGATTTCCATATTTTCCTCTCAGTAAGAAGTTTGCCTGGTTGTTACAGTTTTTGTTTCACTTTTTTTGTGAGGCTTAGGTTTTGTTCCTCTCCCTTTCAGTTCTCTTCATCCATTTGCTCTTATTTTGACCAGGTAGTTCGTTCTACTTGTTCCTAAGCAACAACCTACCTAGCCTGTCAAAATAACAACTCAGTATAAGCAGTAACAAACTTTACTGCTTACTAAAGACAAGCCAGAACACCTCCCTTCTGTTGGGGAATATGTCGCTTCTCTAACCTCTCTACTGCAACGGACTCCAAGTCTTGCAAAGAGGTCAAATGCAAACAATAAAACTTGAGTACAAGAGAACATTTTCACCTGAAAATTACAGGCAAGCACTGGAAATATCTCAAAAGAGCGCTATGTCTCACATACAGTTTGACAGTTAAAAAAAAAAAAAAGGAAAAAAAAAGCTAGATTTTATTTCATTGTTTTCTACCAAGTCAACAATGAAAACAGTTCTCCAGACTATCAGACTATTTTTGCTGGTGAGATAAAGAAAGAAACTTACCTGAGACTCACACGGGAAGAAGGAAATGTTGATTTCCTTGCATCTTCTAATTGATTTTGCACAAGAAGACTTAATTTTATTGAACAGATTATCAGGACAAACTAAGGAAAAATAAAAGATAAAGTATAAAAAACGTTCCAGCTGTTAATTCACTTTAAAGCTTACAGGATTCAGAATAAAGACAATTCTAAATTAAGTAACAGTAACATTAAAAAAGTTGCCATATCTTCCTAAAGCAAACATGTGAGTTTTGTTCTTGAGATCTTTTTCAAGAAGCATCACTGGTTATTTCTTACTAGCTTTGGGAAAGGGAAGCTGCAGAACACTCACTAGAAATCTGCAGCAATAAAGGATACTGATTTTAACTAAGCAAAAGTTTCTGCTACTTCTTCTCATTTGGAAGAGAGAAAACATTTTGCAAGCAACAAAAAGGTTAACAGGAGAAATAACATGTACATGTCAAGCAACGAAACAGAGAAATATGGAATTTAGTTATAGTTCTCAAATGGTTTCCACTACAGTTGCAAGCTACATGGGATCACAGTCTAGAAGTTGAATTTAAGAAATGTTTGGATGACATGAATACTACACAGACTTAAAAGTAACAGTGCTATTCCTCTAGCTCCTCTCAACATGAAAAGCTTTGGCAAACATTCAAACTGAAAGCTTCCACTCTTGTTACCAGGGAACATGCACCAAGACCACGGTATTTTCCCCGAACGAGAATTGTTGAATCAGCATAAAATTAAACAAGAGGTTTTGATAGTAATTTAATAACTGCACTGAGAACATATGGCAGCTGATATGGTCCATTCACAAACATCCAGAGAGCCACAGTTCAATCTCTGCCTTCAGCGGCATATTTGGGGTTTTTGTTTTCCCTTCTTTACACGCCATTTTAGTCACACTGACTGACTGCAGAGGCACTCGCAATCACATTAGCCCCATTTACACTAATTGTCTCTGCTTTGCAATTTGCATCATCCACGCAAGGGGTAAGAAGACACCTTCTTCCAGGTGATGGGAAAAGAGCTGGCTCACAAGTCTGAAGGAACTACCTAAACCAATCAATTACAAAACATCATTCTTGCATCAAATTCTCATGTGTTTGTATTTTTGTGAACTATTTTCCTTACGTGACATACACAGTTTTACGTGAACTGTCTGCCTCCAGACTCTCCAACATAGGAGAAGACTGGAACACTTTGGAAATAAACTAGACTGCCTAATTAAAAGCTAAGGTGAGCAACTATCATAGTTGTTTGGTAATTGTGAAAGAAATTACCATTTCCATACAGCACAGTGACCATATTCTGGCAACTCAAATATACCCATCTATTAATTAATTGAGTCTGAAATCCTCTCTCAAGAAACAGGACTCAAAATTTTCATGTACTAAATTACAGAGAAAAAAAAAAGTTGGGAAACTTCTTTATTTACATATAGAAAGTTATCAAACTACAACACAAAAGCTTACTTACAGTCAGTGAAATACACGTATGCTGCCTTGTATCTGCTCGATGATCTAGTGATGAAGTCATCAATAAGTCCATCTACAGACTTATGAGGGGTAGGAAAAAAAACAAAACACCACAAACATTAGTGTTTTGACTTTCCTCACATAACCACACAAAGCTTATTCCCTCCTCTCCTCCTGTCCCATTACATACCCAGTCTTGCTTAGGAATAGTGCAAATCAACATAAGAAAACACTGAAGTAAATAATAAACAACTACAGAAGGCCATCAAGATCATTTTAGGAAGCAAATGCAGGAGAATACTTTCATCATTTTCCACCTACAACAGTGGTGAGATTTATTCTCTCAAGAATTTGTAGGTAATAACAGTAATTTCTTATTAGAGCCATTACTTTGAATTCCATTGTCCAATGTAGCACATCATCATGTGACACATGGTTTTAAGTGAGGTTACAAATATCTACGCAATGAAACAGTGCCAGTGCCTCCACTGATCAAAAAGTAGACACTTGAAATGTAACACTGCATTGTCTTTTCATCATGGAAAACTAAGGATTACAAAAAATGCAAAAATTAAGTACTGCACAGTAAATAAATATTTTAAAATAAGATTGTTTTTCAGTCTAAAAGATCTTTGCTACACTTCCTTTAAAATACTAACCTTTTTGGTGGGAGTTATGAAATATATTGCTTTCATGTGTGGGACAGGCTCACGGATTTTATATACATTCTCCACCACTATAAAGGAAGCAATATAAGATTTTTATAATTAAGAGGTTTATGCATCTGTAAGCACTATACATATTTTAGTGTAGAAGTAATAAAATAATACCAACCAAGTTGTCCACAAAACTACTATTACCTGTCTTCTACTGAGAGCTCCTTGATTTTTTCAGTTATTTAATACTTTAAACATAGCAAGTCTCTACAAGAATTCTTCAATCCTCAGTCTTGTACCAACTAAGCTTGTAGGACTCAAGTTATTCCTGGCAATTCTACACAAGCTGAGTTTTGCCACCACACAGAAAAATATGGCAACACAAGAGAACTGCCTCAGCAAGACTGTTTCTTTTCCAGCACAGTGAAGGAGAGGGAGAAGAAAACTACGCACAGCATAATTTTGGACTATAGCTTCTTCTGTCCTTTGTTTGCTTATTTCCTACACACTTAACTCTGTTCCAATATAATTGCAGACACAAATTAAACATTTTCAACAAATCAGCTTCACTCAGCTCTTGATTTTCTCTGTTTAATAAAGTCATTACTGTATAGTGTTGCAGTACACTAGCTTGAGAATGCAGAAGAAATTCATGTTGCTCAGTCATTTTGAGGGGAAGTAAGAAGGAAGATAAGTAATGTCAGACATTTAGATGTGGAGATTCTTTTCAGTAGTGTATTTACTAGAAATATAAGTTTTCTTATTGATGAATGGCATATGTGCTTACTGCAAGTTTCTCAAACAAAATAACTACTAGTTTCTATTGTTGTAGTTGATACTGTTGTTGTTGTTATTATTATAAATACACTCCAAAAAGTTAAATGTATGCAGCTTTGCTATTATACCTCCAGACTTGCTACTTGTGGAAAAATAACTAAGTCTAAATACTATTTACTTAAATAAAAGTATTTCTAAAAATCTAAAGCTAATAAAAACTAGAATATTTACATTTTATGCATTAATTTCAATTTCAAAAGAAGGCAGAATGATACACTAGTAAACACTACAGAAAGGCCAATTATAAAAGGCAACATCGAAAAGTGTTTTATGATAGGAAAAACATTCTTCTTTTTAGTTGTAGGGAAGAAAAGCCCATAAAATTTACATGAGCAAAAACACTCCTTAAAAATAAATACATGTAGAAATACAAAGTCTTATCTAAACAGGCATACTGCATAACTGAGATCTATCATCACACTCCATCTATTATTCACTTTTGACAGTGGCCAACATCCAGGAATTCAGCATGTGACAAACTCCACTCCACTAGAAACTACTCTTGATTTTTTTTAAAAAACTGATAATCTAATTACTGTCTATGTTGCTAATGGGTTTACTCTAGTTCAAGTAATCATTGATATAATTCAGTTTCACATTTTTGTTGTTGCGTGTTTTCTTCTTCTATTACAGAAAGCTCTCCTGTTTTTACAAGACTCTAAAATACATCTGCACAACACAGAAATCAAACTTAAATTCTTGTCTCCATCACATACACTTGCTTGCAAACACTTCTCATCAATTTCTCTATTGTCTCGTGTTCTCATTTTATCTCAGTACTTCAGTTTCTCTGGCCTTATAGCCTAACTCTGCTGTTAACGAGCATAAATTAATTAAAAGCAGCAGATATTACTGATTTACAGGACACATTAGGAAAAAAATGCAGGGTAATTTGCCTATTCTTGTATGTTTTACTAATGCCCCCTTAGTTCTTCACCGATTTCTAGTATTAGCTTAACTTCAACTGACTTATATCCTAAAAATCACTATGGGACAGATAACTCTCTCATTTACTCAACCCTGGACATGAGCAATCGCCAATCCCCCCAGAAAAACCTCAAAACAAAGAAACAAAACCCCCAAACAAAAATTAAATAGACACAAACACAAAACTACTAACAAATACCAATAAAAACCTTACAGCAATCTTTAACAAAAAGATGTAAAAAAAACAAAAAAAAACCAAACCTGGGAAGATAAACATTTGATTTTTCATTTTGAAAATAATCACAATTGGGTAACTACTGTACAAGCCAGAAAGACTGCTAGGTTAATATATAGCTATTTGTCTGTATCAATCAAATTATGACAACTTCTTGCAAGGGCACCATCAAATGTATTATTCCCCTTTTTCTTAACAAGATATTGCCATTTGTATATTAAAAAGAATTATGCTTACCTGTGATACCCTCTGCAAGTAGATCGGTCATTTTGCAGCACATTGACAGTAATTTAGTAGTGTAATCATCTAAAAGAATTATCTAAATATATTTTTAAAAACACAAGTTTTTAGATTAATTTGCTATATTAAACTCTTGTTATTTCCTTAACAACTTGCCATGAAAATCTTAAGCTGAAATATGTTTTATTAGTATCTTTTCACCACCTGCATATAGCAACTTTGCAGTGGAAAACTAATTTCAAATAGCATTAGAAAGTAGCTCCACACATACAGGATTCCAAAAGATGAGCTCTATATTAAACAAACAGCTTGCCCCCACTAGTCCTACTAGAAAATATTGAAAAATGTTTACTTTGACACAAGTCTTTTGAATTCCTGCCTAATTTAGTGGTGTAATTTGAGTTTAATTAGGTACAAGTCTTTCAAAAGAAAAGATTAACAGAAACAGTGTCTAATTTTTTTTCAAGACTTAGAAGAATTGAGACAACTAACCACTTGTTGTTCTTCAGCTAGCCCTTAGACTTATCACTATGCATTTATACAGAGATCTGAGTTAAAAGAATTAAAATCCATTACTTCAATGGAAAAAAAATTCAAGTGAATAGTGCCAGCCATTAAATGATACTTATTTATTACGTACTAAGCAACACAGATTGGTCAAAGTGATTCTGACATTCTTACATAAATTATGACAAGACTATACCTTCCATTCTTCCTCTTTCCTGCAGTCATCAAATATTGATGATTTTAGCTCTGTAAGAAGAAACAGATAAAAGTAAAGGACTACTAAAAAAATTTCACTCATTTAGACTCATATGTTTGAAGACTTAAAAAGAAAGGATTAAAAAACCCAAAACAAAAACAACCACACACAAAACTGCTAAATACCTCTACAGATTTCTGGACCGTAAACTGCCCTGTCTGTTTAAAAAAGATGTAGCTAATTTTTTCATTTTTGCTAATATTAACCAGCTCCATAAAAATCAGTCTGAATTATTACAGGCCCATAAATATTTTACTTTGTTTCTATTATTTCAGTGACCTCATTCACTAATTGGATTGTGCATATGCAAAAAATTTAAGCTACTCTAAGAAAAGACAGCCGGACCAACACATTCCCAAACGGACCTGTTTTAAAATGCATGCAAGCTTCAGATGTCCTTGTTCTTTCTCCAGAATTTCAACATAAGCCTAAGAAAATAGCAGTTCTTTCAGGAGTTGAAAGTTATCTTAAATAAAACATTCACTATCTTCTCCTGCTATGACAACTTTGGGAGAAAAGTAAATCTTATACAGGATTTAGCAATACAAGTCAGCATCCAGTTAAGACCCACAGATTTTAAAGATCATCAAACTATGAGTTGAAACTTACAGGAATGTGGTCATCAGGATAAAGCAAAAGTGATCTCACAGCAGTGGTTTGTACTAATTAGGAGTCAGAAGATTTGGGGAAATGTTTAAAATCTGATGTTTACAAACACAGGAATAAAGAGGCCTGCTTATTCTGTTTTCCCCAAAGAAAAGAATTTCAGATTAAGGCAATAACTAGTGTTGTCTATTAAAATAGCTGAACTCTATTCACAAAAGAAAAAAAAAGAATGTTACAGAAACAAAAGCCTACGATACTAATGAGCAAATCCAGCACAAATTTTGTGATTACTGCCAAGTAAAAGAACCATAAGAAGTTTCAGAATAGCAAGTGTACATACAACAAAAAGCATAGCCATTTCTTCAGTGTTCATAAATATTTATATAGTCACCCATGTGCACGTTCCTTTGTCATAACACTATTGCAAGATACTCCATCTCAACCCCCAAATTATAGAGCCTTAGAATTCAGCAGTTTCTTCCAGCTGAGCAGCCTACCTGCTCATCCAGCCTTCATTTCATTTCAGTTTCACCAGCTCTAGCACTCCACAACACACAACACTCCCGAAATATCATGTTTCTTGCTTCTCATGGTTGTATTTTACAAATTCTTTCACAGTAACAAAGTAAGTTAATTTTGAAAGATGAGTTCTTTATGCTTTATATTACCAACATATTTATTTTTTGCAGCACTGACATTCTTTATAGCAACTTCAGAAACATTCACTCTGCTTTATCTAATAAACTGACCGATCTAAAAGTTATTTAAAAAACACATTTCAATTTGGATGAAATAGGTGTATTTTGTTGACGCTTCTAAACAACAGAACCCAAGCTCAGCTCTCCTGAAACTTTTTCTGTTTATGCAATTCCTGAAATCCACTACCAATCCTCAAATTTCTCCTGTGTGTTGCCTCCAATTCAACACCCATTCCTGTTATACATAATCCACAGTTTTCAACAAGTTCTAGGTCTGCTTAGCCTACTGTAAACTCCTATGACTCCTCTCCACATACTCTCTATTAGACTGCAGAACAGTCATCATCACTCCATAGCTGTTACCAAGACAGACCAGTTTGCCATACCTGTATCCAGGATGTAATACAGGCACATTTTTTTCCTGTCACTTTTATACTGTGTATTCCTTCCTGAGATGTTTTTCTGTCTGTGCACAAGGAATAAGAACAAAGCTTTGGCCTCATGAAGATTTCATTAACCTTCATATTTTCTAAGAAAATTCTTACCAAGGATTGAGTTGTTAGGATTACAGAGAAAGTACTTTTTAATACACTGAGCACTTGAGAGCCTTGTCCAAAATCTCAAATATACTCTTTGTATAATACTTAAACTTACTTGCCTGTTAAAAAACCAGAACATACAAATACATAACGCAGTTATGTCTTGAACCTCATTTCTGGAATAAAAAAAAAAACAAGCCAGCTTCCTCCCATCATGAAAAGAAATGTTATTCCAAGCTATCAGTGTACCAGATACTGTGTACTTACCACTGCAACATTCCCACTGTCATTTGTTTTGTCCTCAACATGCAGCTGATTTACCCAAATAACTGACTTACACTCGTTTACAGGGTCTCAAAATCCTCTCGTTTGTCGCCAGTAAACATTCTGAATGCACAAAAACCAATCATAATGCCAGGAACGAGTAGTGCTCTATTTTGGTTTAAACTCTTTGTTTCCATCTTACAAATTTCATATAAACCACATATCCCACCTACTTTCTCTACTTCTCTTGTTTCTGAATTTGCTAGATTAACGTAAGGCATTTTTCTTCTGCTTTTACTTCCTGACCCTGACAAGAACTACACAAAACTCTAACAGAGCAGCAGGCTACTAAATACCTGTGTGGGAAAAAAAAAGCAAAATACACCACACCTTGGCAAAGTTAATGACCCATTTATAACATGCTTCCTGAATAAAGGACTAAACCAGCATCTACTGTATGCAAGTGTTCCGGAAAATAAAGTCACAGAAATGCTGAATCATAAAATAAAACAAATATAGATAGGTATGGCTCAACTAGAAACTTATTATACAAGTCTAAAACAAATCTTAAACTTGTGAAAGAATTTAAAGACAGAATTCCTTATGGAAGTAACTTTATTTTACACAGAGACTCAGCATAGAGCAAATTGTATCATTACATCCACAGGAACTACTGCCTTCTAAACACAGGCAACCCCAACCTGTAACTGTGAACTTAATTAACATGCTTTGCTGAAGCAACCCCTTCACACACTTGTGCCTAGATCCAGTCTAAAGTGGCACTTTACAGAAAGGGCTATCACAATGAAATAAGTGGGTTTTTTAACAGCACCATAACAGAGCACATGTACAACCCTTTGTACACAACACAGGTACAGCTTCTTTGTCTATTAACGAGGCAGGAATAAGATACACACTGACATGCTGGTACTTGATGCATCAGCATTACCAACACATTACTTTCAGACAAACTAGGCTTAAAAAAGACCCATGTTTGCTCAAACATTAGAAAAGCAGTTTATGGCTTTGAATTATCCATAAACAAAGTGCCAGATACTGTAAAAACTTAGTTAATCTATGTTAACTGTTGTAGTCTTGGAAAGACAAGAATAACTAGTTAGGTAACAAAACATGACTTTCAGAAGCTGCTTCCTTTTTATAAGATTAGCAATGTTTTATTATTCCAACTTCTTCCATTACTCTAATCTTTCTTCCTCATGGATTTGTCTGCAGCAGCAATGCCATTTTCAAAAGTCCTTTTATGCTTTAATCAGGCACTAGTGCTCTTAAGGTCCAAGTCTTCTATAGAAGACCTCAGGACAAACCAATCACTTCATAGCCACCAAAGACACAAATGATTTATCAGAGCGAGAGAGGACAAGGAGAGCAGCAAAAGGAGGGATTTTCTAAAGGTCAAGTTCTACACAAAAGAATCTAACTCATAGGAGCAGGGTACAGATGTCAGTAACAGGACTGAAAACCACAGGAACGGTCTGCTTTCCTCTTTCTCCCTTTTTTCTGTTTTCTCTTCCAGCAACACAAGCAAACTGGAGCTTGCAGGTGGAAGCAGAGAAGGAACACAGAAGAGGAGGCAGCAGGACCTTCCCCTTCCAGTGACACAGTCACCAGACTGGCTGAGCTGCATGGAGTCACAACCTCCGTACAATTAAGTCCGGCGTTAGGTGGTTACTAATGTCCTTCCCCAAAGGTCTTACAGTACCTGCAACACTATCAGCCCTTCTCACTAAGACATGGAGTAGTTACTTTATTTTCTGTACCAAACCCCAGCAGAACCTGTTCCTAAACATGGTAATAAACACCTGGCGATCATTTACGGAAGTACCAGGGGACACCTTCAGCCTTCTCTTCAGACACCCGCGGAGCTCAGCCCCCCGCGGGCCGTGCCCACCGTGCCCGGCAGCCCCTCAGCAGCCCGGACCGCCCCCCAAACTTGCCGTTTCGGAAGCCGCAGGGAAGTCCTTGAGGGCTCACTTCAGTTTGGCCCCTTCAAGAACCACCATGGCTGGCTACATCCTAGCAGAATTCGCCCTTCTCTCAGAACAAGGAAAAAACGTGTCCACGCAGGTGCTGCT